AATTTGTTCAATCTAATTATGTTTTTATTCTAGTTAAATCAATAAATTATTGTGAAGCTGCACAGGAGGGTCGTTCTCATTCAGACGTTCATCGTTATTCTCTTTTCCTGTCCCATCATCAATGTTTGGAATCTGATTCACTTCGATGGCACTTCTGAAAATTTTTGCAGGTGGTTCGTCTGATGCTCAGTTTTTGTGGTGGCAAGTATCGTACATTGAATTAAATCCGAGGTCTTACATTGGAGCAACTCGATATCTGTCGAACGGAAAATATTGCTGGTTGCTCTAATGTGAGACCTCTAATTTAAAAAAATGTAAAATACTTGCGTCCAATATTATTGCGAATTACCTATTGCTTGTTGCCTCAGTGTGAGAGGATGTTTGTCTGGTCCAGGTAGAAATAAGCCTTCAATAAAAATTATATCGGCCAAGGCGACGTATTTTTTTGTTCCTGGAGACACCACCTTGCTGAAATTTTTTGCATGATTTGGAATTAAACCTATTAAGTAGGTATTATAATTTTGCCAAACAACAGGAAATAGCGAGCAATGATGCACACAGCACAGTATTCGGAACTCGAGCATGCGCGTAAATTGCCAAATGTCTACAGAGATCCCAGTTATTTGAATTTTGGTCATGTTTATTTTGTGAAAATTCCAGAATATTTAATTTAAAGTAGCTGATATTTCGTTTAAAAAATCTGAATATATTAGATTTATGGCGTTCGTTCCAAATATATATTTATTTAATAATGTAACTCGTATCATTTTAAGAAGACAAACAAATAATTTGAAAAAACCAAATACGCAGATTTATTTAAACCAAATACATTGTCGTTGGTTTAACTAATCATTATTTGGGTATAAAAAAAAATGAAATAAATATTTATTAGGCAAATTTTTCACTAATTTTTTCAGTGTGGATCATACTGGATCGAGGCAAGGAAGAGGGAGTGTCTGGGGGCCAACTAAGGCCTCGGAGAAAACAGAAGCAATACTTTTGAGCTATAAAAGAAACGTAGGCGACATCAAATTTATGATGGAGGGCAGGGAAATCACACCGCAGCCTACTGTTAAATATCTTGGCTTCCACCTCGACAGACGCCTTACAATAACAAGACACATAAATGCAGTGTGCCTGAAAGCTGAGAGGACAATAATGGCGCTCAATTGCATATTGCCAAACGTGGGCGAACCGACGCCTGCCAAAAGAAAGGACGCCTGCGAAAAGAAAGGTCCTGGCCCTGACAGCGAAAAGCATAATTTTGTACGGAGCACCGGCCTGGTCTCGCGATACGGTCATAGGGGTAAAAAAAACGAGACTGAAAAGGGCTCAACGCACAGCAGCGCTCGGCCTACTACACCGCATCGGCCAACGCTATTCTAGTGTTGACGGGGCTGGTGCCATTATACTTTCTGGCAAAGAAAAGAGAGAGGATCTTCGAACTACCCGGAGAGATCACAAAGGTTGCCTGGTAGGATGAGTGGGCAGGTGGCCAAGAGAGCTGGACCTGAAAACTAATTCCGATTTAATGACATGGTGCGACAGAAAATGGGGGAAAATCACTCACCAACTGACACAATCTTTCACAGGGCATGGCTCGTTCGGGACCTACATTTAGCCAGTCATAAAACTATTGTGTTGTATTGTGTTAGTCGACCTTTTTTATGACCTCAAAAATGACAAAAAGAGTCAAGTCAGTGTCATCCTATGGTGTCATCTTTAAACCAAACATAACATAAAAACATATTGCACATACTGTTGTTTAGCTTTAACATTGCCAAAAACTGTCTGACCCAAGTTTTTCAGAAGAGACTTTTTGTTGTTAAGCTTGGCTCACACAAGGCAAATTTGGAATATATAAAGTCTGTTTTTTTTTTAAGATAATTCCCCAAGTCAAAAATTTAGTAACTATGTTGGCAACACAAGCCTTTTTTACATAAAAAATTTGAGAGCATTGACAATTTTACATTGTATTGCCAACATAAAGTCATCTTGACTTTTATATTAAAAAAAAAAAACAGACTTTATATTGCCTGTACCAGTTTTATGTTTGGCCAAGTGTACACCCATGAAATAAAGAAAACCGAAAATCCGACTTTTGCCTACTGTCAAAATGACAATCACAAACCAGAACACACTATCTTCGAATGCCCGCGATGGCAGACTAGGCGGCGGAGCCATGCAGTTGACTTCGGAGAGGTCAAGGCGAAACAAAAATACTGGAAAATGAATATGGATAAACAAAGATAACCAAATTTAATTACCGTTATGACCACTAAAGAACAGGAAGATAAACAAAGACAGAACTGAAGAACAGAAACAAGTAGATTGGAGGGACAGATACCGAATTTCTTCTGAGGAAAAGTCTTCGGACATGACCGGAAGAAATGGACGGATGTAGGGGAAGGGTTTTAGTGGGTCTAAGTCCCACACTGTCTTAAGGCGCAAGTAGAACAATGCCCAAATTTGTGCGATAACATTTCCTAATCCCTCAAAAAAAAGCCCTAGGCAAATTGAGGGATATATAGGCATGGACATACGAGAAAATGGATTCCGTGTCGAACAATCTGCCTGGAACAGCGCTCCGGGAACCAACTTCTCAAAAATAATCGGCTCTAATAACTAATATCTCCTCGATAGACAATACAGGCATTCCCATGAATAACTACTAATTTTAGATAAATGAAAAAATCTCGATATTCAAACGTAAATCATGAGACTTTTTGGATTTATTGTTTCGCAACTTAATTTCGACAAACGGTTGCTTGCTGGCCGATAAAATACTTGATACGATAACGGTAACAATTAGAGACTTCTACGATAGTAAGATGGCTACTACTACGAGACCTGTGACCCAGCAAAAAATGGAAAGGTACAAAGTACAATGTACAAGCTGAACAAGCAGAGCTTCCCCTCGATATGGCCCACGGAAACTGTTAGTACTAACTAGTACCAACTTCAAAGCTGAAGAAAAGTGTGCCCTCTTGGTTAATAAAGGAAACATGACTACGTTAGGTTTGAAGAAAAACAATTTCTTGTAAATCCCAAAAATTCTTTAATTTTCTTGAGAGAAATACTATTTTTATATTTCTGTCAAGAAAATTAAAGAATTTTTGGGATTTACAAGACATTGCTTTTCTTCAAACTTATCATCTGCCCAAAAAATGGACCACATACAATCCTTATGACTACGTTACTTCATATAGAAAAAGAGATAGTAGAATTTAGCATGCTACAAATCATCGGAAACTCGAGTTTGTCTTCTCATCTCCTCATTTGGGACTAGATATAGCCAAAATGGAATGGAACGTCCCATGATAGGCCAATCTCTAATAGATTCAAAGTCTTGGCAAAACGGACTTTTCGTAGATTTTTCGTTTGAGACCATAAAAAAGGTTTTTGTTGAAATTGTATAAATCCGAGTTGCTATCAAACCCGTTATAAGTATTTCAAGCTATTTTATGTGATCTAAGGAACAAACAACTCTCGTCTGTAATTTTAACCCAAAATTTTTGTCTAGTACAAAGCAGTGTGAACACTCAATTATTTGAAACATTCCCCCATGTCGAATTAAGACGCGTTTTACGGTCTGCCTGTATCACAAAATACGCAAATTCTAAGCAGATGAAATAGTTTTTGTCTCCTCTTTCGGTTGACTTACAGCATTGTTAGGCGCTTTGATTAGCCACGACCTAAATGTTAATGCCTCAAAAATAAATTAATTGAGTTGGTGAGAAACAGAAGCGTATCAGGAAAATTTCATATATATAGGAAATTAATTAGTTTTCGCATCAAAACTTCTTGGTTTAGTTAATAAACTCAAAATTACCTTTTACCCTGAAGTCAACTTCTCACTTCAATAGAATCAGGCCAAGCCTGACCTTATGACTAGAGAGCGATAAATTTTATTAATGTATCCTACGTCCATCCTACGATCCACTAATTTAACACAGAAGCAAGGTCTTATCCGATTGCTTTACAGTCACGAGAGTTTACTGAAAGGTTCTTCCGGCTCAACAAGAATAAGGTTGCTTAATTAACCTTGAGTCAAACTTATAAACTTTTCCGTTATGAAAACTTTCAATTCCTTATTAAAAAATGTTACTGTGTTTCTGTAGGGTCTAATCTTGCAATTATTTAAAAAAATTGACCCTGGGGTAGCAAATAAAATTTATTTTACTACTAATGAAAATTTCATGATACCTACGTTAGGAGGGTATAAGCATGAAATTTCCATTTTTGGCACGTGTGAAGTCGGTCTGCTCTGGCGACCCTGATCACATGTGAATTAGTAATTAATTTTCACTTTGCACAAGAAGTAGAGTGCAGGAATATTACCGAAAAACCAACCGAAGACTCAAAATATTATTTTCAATTTCATCTGGCGATTGTTTTTTAATCCACAAATAAATAGTTTTTGAATTGATAAATTTGCTAGCAACTTAACATGGATAATTATTTTTGCAACATGTACAAATTAAAAACCTATGAAGAAGCGAACAATGAAAAATATTCTTTCATGGAGCGCCAGATTATTTGAACAAAAAATAACAGACTTTAGAAATGCCAGTCACTAATTATTCTCGCAACCGGATTAATTTGAGCACTTAAATTAATGACTTGCCTATTAACTAGGCTATTTTAGCTTGGCTTTTAGTAAATTCCGTAAATTTTCTCAAGCGAGATTTCTTTGAAGCTAATTATATAGCTCTAGTAACTTGATGAGCCAGTTATAAGCTCAAGGCACCTCATTATAATTAATTATCTATTTTTTGAGTAGACTTTATGGAGTGAGCCGTTTTGTCGAATTTGCTACTAAAGTAGGGATTGTGATGCTCATCCGACTTTTTTAAACGGGCTCTTTATCTGAATAATTTGGCAGAATATGACTCACACTTTTCTTTCAAAATTCAAAATCAGATCAAATACATTTTGACATATTTTGTTAAGACTTCTTTCCATCGAACGTAGCATGACTTTTCGATTTGCATGCTTACCTGTGTATCCCTATGTACACTATAAGTACTCCAGCAACATGGTTCCACTTGATTCGAATCCAGGCCCCAAAACTCCAATTCTTCTTCGAAAAGCGGACCACAAACGTTGGTGGGATAATGCAATTTACCAGTCCTGAAAAGAATATTTAATTTAACTTTTTTATTTCAACATTTTTCGCTCGTTAATTAACTAGCAAAGTTTCACAATAGATTTTCATTCAAAAATTTCTATGCAAGTTTTTTTTCCGGGTCAAACATTGCGATAGAAACGTGCTTTGTCCGCCTATGAAAAGTGTAGACCGAGTATTTTAGAATTAAAAAAAAAAACTTCTGGTACCTATTCAAAATTACTGGAAGGGTTGAAAGGAGTCCGATAGAGCTTGCAATATCATATTTATAGCCTTAGGTACGCATTGCGGCATTTGCCTATAATGGTTTGTCGGACAGGAGGAGCGAGGCTTTTAAATTCTTTTTGAACCTCGACGGAATATAAAGACTTACTTTACACTGACGCATGGAAAGTATGTCAAGACCATTTTTATTAGAAATATGAGGTGTAAGCGTTATTTGCAATGACTGTTACCCAAAGTTAATGAAATAATTATCCCTAGATATTGCTAGTTTTATTGAATGTCTTAATGTGTTCACAGTAGGTTTGTTCCAACCCGTCAAAAAACCGTCCCAGAACCGCTTTGTATACGAATTTCGGTTTCTACGCAGAAATTTTAGGTATTGCGCAGAATCCTGGCGGTAATATCACGGTTTCCTGCTGGGTTGGAACAAAGCTATTAGTCGCAGGAATCAGAGGCGCCGACTTTTGAAAGTTCTCATGGGTGCAGAATAACTTTTTAAAATGACTTATAGGGGGAGGGGGAAGCTCGCCGAAGGCGAAATTTTTTTTCTACTATAGCGTGCGAGAAGTGATTTTTGCTGCACGCATTTAGGCACTAGAGCGGAAAAGTAAAATAATTATGCAATGTTAAGTCACCCTGGTAGATATTTTCATGTTCTGAGATGCGTGCGGAAAAGTACTTCTCCGCATAGTCGTAAAAAAATAACGTTCCTTAATCATGCGGAAAATCTCTTTTCCTCATTTAATTGCTACGCACATGCCCTAGTTGACGTTTTGTTTCATTTGAGCCGCCTCTCTGTCAATTGTCAGACTGTCACTGTCAACACAGTTTCTGTCAACCAATGAACTATGCGCACGAACGAAGGCATTATTATAAAAGTTCCGATATATCGAAAAGATGATTGTTGTAAAGACACTCGGGCCTCCTCATAATTTGATATTTTTCACCACAACAATAATAATTTTCATAAAATCACCATAATTAGAAGACTTGTAATAAAACAAAACGTTTCGTCATAATCATAACCATCATTTTTATTCCCCTTCTGGCCCATAGAGTTCTGGCCCTTGTTCAAAGACACTTGACAGTGACTTCCCCGTATTTTACAGTGTTGCCAAAGGCTAATAATAAATTAATAGGAAAAGTAACAAAGTGGAATAAGAGAGCAGAACAAGGAAAGCGATAAAGTAGTAAAAGTTAAGAGTAGTATAAATAGGTTAAGGTTACAACATTATATCGATATTTTTTTCGATATATCGAATGTAAAATATCGATTAAAATACAGTGTGTCCAGTTATTAGTTCACAGCATATGGGAAACTTTTTTATTATCAATTTTACGAAAAAAAGTTATTCCTTAGAGAAGTTTCTGCTTCTTGAAAAAATACTATTAAACTATTGAAACCTGAAATAGCATGTACAGGGTGGTCAAAGAACAGAAAAATATACAGGGTGTTTCCGAAGTACCTACGGTTCGTAACTTCAGAATATAATTCCTTACAATACTTTAAGAAGAAAAGTTCCCATAAAAATGTGTCCGGAAATCCGTAGTTTCTGAGATACACGGTGTCAAAGTTTTAGAACAAAATTTTTTTTTCAGCTCATTAATCGCTTTTCCAATTTTTTTTCTTCAAATTTGGCAGGTTTATTTGTGATAACGAAAGGTATCCTTTGACTGTAATATGACTTGCTTAATCTGAAAAAAAATATCAAAGGTTTAAAAAATAGTGACGTGCCATTTTTTTTCTACTTTTACCAAAAAAACCTGTATATTTTTCTATTTTCTTACCACCCTGTACATGCTATTGCAAGTTTCAATAGTTTAATAGTATTTTTTCAAGAAGCAGAAACTTTTAAAATAAGGAATAACTTTTTTTCGTAAAATTGATAATAGAAAAGTTTCCCATATGCTGCGAACTTAAGTGGACACACTGTATATCGATATATTTGAATAATACAGGGTGTCCCAATAGAAAGTGACGGATTTTAAATGCTTATAATTTTTAAACCCGGTGTGCTAGCTACCTGCGATTTGCTCCATTCGACTTTTCTTGGCCTAAAGTTTTTTTTCAGATAGTTGCAAATTTTTTTCACACCTATACAGGGCGAGTAAAAAAAAATGTCGTTTTTTAACATCGAAATTCTCCACTATTTCTAATGGAACACCCTAAATGTTGCAACGCCAAAATTAAGAATCGTGACAAAGGTATTCATTTGCCAATAAACGTCGATTTTTTTTGAACCTAAAAAAATGCATTTATTTTTGGGCCAGATTTCTATTTCAATTTTTTAGGGCTAAACTTCAAGTTTCATGCCCGATGTTTATTGGTACATCAATACCTTGTACACGACTCTTAATTTTGGCGTTGCAACATACATGATGTTTCAATAAAAAAGTGGAGAATTTCGATGTTGAAAAACGGCATTTTTTTACTCGCCCTGTATAAGTGTGAAAAAAATTTGCAACTAACTGAAAAAAAACTTTAGGCCAAGAGAAGTCGAATGGTGCAAATCGCAGGTAGCTAGCACACCTGGTTTAGAAGTTATAAGCATTTACAATCGGTCACTTTCTATTGGGACACCCTGTATTTTGATTTCTACAAAACATCGATGTATAGGTTTTTTTATGTTACATTTAGGATGACGTCATCGAACAAGGACAGATAATGTTGTCAATGCCTACTTTTTTCTTATACTTTACCAGAATGTAACTTAGTAGTAATTTAGCCGTCTGTACATACTATAATAATAATTTTAAATAATGAGAAAGGCCCATAAAAAGTACGTGTGTTTTCAATTATTTTGTTCCTAAATACATTTATAGATTGTGACGTTTAGGGAAAATTTGAACATGCTAGCAACAGTGTATTAATTTAATTTTCCCCAAAGTGATATTAGTGCTTATACACACAAAAAAAAAAAATCTCTTTAGAACATTATTTGGGCTCTATAGTAGTGTGTCAATAATGCTGACGACAGATAAAAATAACGAAATGAAAAAGTTTATACAAGTCATGCAACGTCGCGCGCCGTTGCCAACCAAAAACATCTGAAATTCGAAATTCCCCTACTTTAAAAGCGTTAAAAAGTACTTTTAGTTTTGTTAGGTTGGCAACAGAAATTTACTAAATGTGACGTCATCATGGGCGTCGTTTGGGGGGGCAAGGGTGGGCATTTGCCCCCCCCCCCCCCTAGAAATAGTCTTTTGAACAAGAAAGCAGTAAAAGATAGTTCGTATTCGTATTGCTTTTCTCCATTTTTTCAAAATTTTTTAGTTACAGTAGACTCGTCGTAGACTCGTGCTAGTGTGAACACACGCTTCTGTGAACCTCCCAGTAGTATGAACAGCCAGAATGAATACATTATACATATTCTGTAGTGTGAACTTTTGAGAATATCGGATTTGTCTATGGTATGAACAATGTATTTGACTACGAATTTAACCGTTTACTGCCTACTTGTTGTTTTCATCGATTGTTTCTATCCAATTATGGAGTTCCCCGAAGGTTTTGAGACAAGGAACGCACAGATATGTTGAGTTACTGCATTCACTCTAATGTGGAATACGCAAGTGGCAGCGCGTCAAGAGCACGTTCAAAATTCTATAAATCTTCAGTTCGTTGTTTGTTGTGGTTGATCAGTTTTGTAAAAATGGCGAAAAACACAATTTTTTCAACTCTTTATGGGTCTGTTCTCACAAGAGTCTCTGACAGTTTGCAAACTGTCAGAATGCATCGCCCATGCATGTTTTCAATGCCGTCATTCCAAGATAACTCGGTAACTTAGCTGAGCGATTGTTACTGACAGTTTGCAAACTGTTAGGGACTTCTGTGAGAACAGACCTTATATGGGAAGTCAAAAATTCAAGAAGATTGCCATCAAGACAATAGCATATATTCGCGCTAATGACACAGAAAGCCTAAGAAACTTTAAGACAAAGTAGGTAGCCATCCAATGCTCAGGTAGAACCATTTAGACAAAAATTACATTTCACTTTAATCAATAAACTGGGAAAATTTACTTAATTTTAAGTTTAGAGACCATTGCTGACAATATTTTGCATTTTTAGGTAGACCTGCGTGTGTGAACGTCTCGATAATATGAACACGTCCGGTTTTTTTGTGTCCACACTAGCGCGAGTCTACTGTACTTTGAAAAATTGGCTGACATTTTCATTATATTCAACGGAATTGAATTTTACTTGACTTAGGGCCGGTATTATAAAACACTGAACCGATGGTAGAGTTTCAGGTTCCAACCTTCGGTTGAATCCTATCAATTTGCATGGAGTCAACCGAAGGTTGAAACTCAATCATCGATTCAGTGCTTTATAATACCGGCCATTGGAAAATTACCTTAACAAATGATGCGGAAAGTGAATTTGTTGCGGAAAAAAATACCATCATTTTTAACAAATATCGATATCAAATAAAGTTCGTTTTTTATTTAAAGATAATTCCTCAAGTCAAAAATTTAGTAACAATGTTGGCAACGCAAGCCTTTTCTACATAAAAAATTTGAAAGCATTGACAATTTTACATTGTATTGCCAACATAATGTCATTTTGACTTTTATCTTTTAAAAAAAAACAGACTTTAAGTGAGTTAAAATGCTCAAAAAGGGGCGTGGCACCGAAAAAAATTAGCCTACGGCTGTTGCCTGCGGCGCTTATGGAAATGGTCTTATTATAATACTGCCCCCCCCTGTGAAACCTCGTAACGACGCCCATGGACGTTATCCTAAATATAGCGTAAAAAATCCTTTATCATTGCCATCCCTAC